TTTTTTTTTTTTTTTTTTTTTTTTTTTTTTTTTTTTTTTTTTTTTTTTTTTTTTTGGTTTTTTTTTTTGTTTGTTTGTTTTCTCTTGGCCAGAAAAAAGGTTTGTTTACCTACCACATCATGGGTAGTACGGCCCAAGTGGCCCTTTTTGTGTACAGCATCATAACAGGCTTTGCCTTTAATGATCTCGCACGGTTAGAAAACACAATCTGAAAAGACAAACTGTTCGGCTGCTGGACAAAATTGTACATTAAGTCATCAATAGCAAGGTATCAGTTGCACAGTCAGTCCTTTATGAAAATTCATAAATAAAGAATTGTTCTTTCTTTCTGTGGTTTTAATAAGAATTCAAAAATTGTTCAGAGTCTTGTAAATGTTATTTTAATAATCCTTTAAAATTTTATCTGTTGCTGTTACCTCTTGACAAATGATTTATTAGATTGCTAATCCCACTCATTCAGGAATATGAATACAAGAGGTGTTCTGGGGGAAATGGTGCCTCTTACTGTGTAAATTTTCTCCTTACCTTACTTTGCTAATATCATGGCAGAATTTCTTTCTTATTCCTTGTGAGGCATTGTTGAGAGTTCTTCATCCTTACAATCCTGTCCCATAATATTTAACATGACAAAAGAAATAAAATTGTTAACAGATTTTTCTGCTGGGTAGCCTGTTTGTGTGTGTCGTACTTTTAGAAGGGATTCCTAACAAGTTCATTGTTCATGGTAATTTGCTACTTGTAACAAATGGCTATTTTGAAGTTTATTTGCTTAAGTCTCTGGCTTAGACTGTTGTAATTGAAGCTTGGGAAAGAAAAAAAAAGGTTTCCATTCCATTTGTTTAGGCTGTTTTCTGGCTGCTTTCAGCTACAGAGAGGATGGTTATCAAACTTGTTTTGGGACAGAATAATTTGGATATCCAGCAGGTACAAATACCAGACGTGAATGCTTTCAGTATATTAACAACTTACTTGGATTGTGCAGGAGCGTAATAATCAACCTTCTGTTCCATCTTTGGATCTTCTGGGTGTCTTCCAGGAGTCAGCATTATTCTTTGATTTCTTAAGGGTACTTAATTCGCATATACTAACTTAGCGGGTTTGTAATTCTGTTTGAGTAGATACTCAGAAATGCAAGTTGAATCATTCAGACACCCATAGTGAATTCCATGATGCAGAAGAGTTGATATTTGCTGAGTGAGCCTCAGTTGCTCACCTCTGAGAAATAAAAATCATTTTTACGCAACTCTTGGCAGTCCTGCCTGTGTTAACTGTGTACAGCTAAGTTTTAAAGAATGCATTTTTGGGGTCTGAAATGCTTCCCTGCACTTAGTCTTATGTCTTGCCTCATCTCTGAATATGTCATAAAAACAAACAGTAGTATTGGAACAAAATATTATCTGTACCTCTAAGTAAGCATAATCCAGTACAGGGAATTACTTGTAAACTTGAAAAACTGTGGAAAGGGGTATACTCCTGTAAGCAAAATTGTGTATGCTCTTGGACAGCTTGACTTGATGTGGTGCAGCTAAGTGTGTTAGACCTTGGTATATGCACACCTTATGTAGCTGAGAAAAATGTTCTGGAAATGATGTACATTATCTTGGTTGCCTTTGATTTTTAGTGCTTTTTTTAAAAAAAGAAAACAATAATTACATCATGTTCTGTCATTGCTCTCTGTGATAAGCTTTTTTTATAAAATCTTACACATGTACAATGAAGATGATGGAGAAAATGCAAATACTGCTTATCTTTTCACTTGAGCATGCAAGCACTGATGTTTCCAATTACTTGTTCCAGTGTCTGCATTCAAGTCTCCTTCCACCCCAGTGACTGGAAAAAACTATGTTAAGGTCTTGATTATTTTGGTTCCACTGGTTCAGAGAATGGTGTATTTTCTCCTGATTTTTTTTTTTTTTCTCTAACAGAACATTGCCACATCAAACTTTCATAGCCTGTTCCAAACAGATTACGTGGAAAATAACGAAAGCAATATTGTGCAGGATGTAGTTTGCTTCAGACAGAGCAGTCATTCCTGCGTTGAAGGGAGAAAAACCAAACAAAACCCTCTGGAAGATCTTAAAATGTTTACAGCATGTTGTATGGAGGTTTTCAAGGGTGCTAGCACTTAGAGGACTTTTTAAAGCAGAAAAAGAAGTCTTTGCTCAGTGCAGATGACTCAGGTTTTGATATCTGGCAGCAGAAATAAGGTAAAAATGATGATAAAGTCAGAATGAAATAACTTTTTCCGTAAATAACAAAAGAGTTGCTGGTAAAACTCGGTCATGGTTCAAGTAATGTCTTCAAAGTGAAAGTGTACAGCAGTCTCGTAACCAGTGTACTCAGTAATGGTATAAGGATACTGTCTTGGTTTCCCGTAATCCCTTCATAGCTGTATATAAAATGTAATGCTAAAACTATTTTGCTCTCAGGAGTCACTTTGGATGAGATCAACTGTATTCAGTGAATTATGTAATATGGATTAAATTGTTTGTCTTTGTTCCTGAAATGGTTAGAACTTCTTGCTTTTTCTGCCTGCTTACTTGTGTATGTAAGCACAGGGGAATACAGTCTTTCCACTGCTCCTAGTGAAATGAGCAGACGGTGATGCCCGTAAAGTCATGCGAGGGTAAATGTGTAACTTAGTTAAGTACACGTTGCAGGTTGCTCTTCTGATTTCTCAAGAGGGCAAGATAGAACAAATATAACAATATCGAAGTAGTATTTTAAAGTTTTTATGAATATAGCACTTTAAAAAAAGAATGATATGGTTCGGGGGAAAAAACAAGCCTAGTTAACTAGAAGATGCGGCTTCTGTAGTAATTCTGGGCACCAAATTTAACCCACTTAAATATATATATATAAAGTTCATTTAAGAAAAAGTTACTTGTATCAATGCACAGGTTATTTGTGCATTTCTGCTCATTCTCTAAAAGCTGTCAACAAACACTGTTGCCCAGGCTTGCATGCTTCTGCTGCTATGTTTGAAGCCAGTTCACTTATAAGAAGCAACCAAACACTAGCTTGGATCTTTATTATCCTCCTGGGAGGAGGGAGGGTGAAGGGAGGAGTTGAAAGGTGACATTTTGCCAAAGGGGAAAAGACAAAGTCAATAAGCAGAATTATCTTTCAGGCCTTCTTCAAAGTTATTAAAAGTTGAAGTGTTAATAAACTATGAAAAATGTAGTAGTGTCCTTTTTATTTTGGAACTTCTCCCTGACTACATTCTGTGGACTGCTAACAGTGAATAGGTGTACCTAGTCCACCTCATAAGCAGTATAACTGCTCTGCTCTGAAGTACTGCCGGGAAATGGCATGAAGCTGCCCTGGATGAAGATTCAATGTTCGAGTGAAGTGCAGGTACCTGGATTTAGGCAACACTGAGGATGCTGATGGGTCTGTCAGATTTATAAGAATCACCTTGACGTAAAGTTTTATTTTTCCTGTTTGGAGTCGCTAGATATTTATGTATGATATGACTTGGCAGAGCAAACACTTCCTTCAGTCTGTGGCAAAAGATGGAATGGGAGCTACGCAGTTACAGAGCAACCCTAATAAATACTTACTACAATACTGAAATGCTCTGCTGTCCACATTTACAGGCAGGATTGAAATTCTGTAACTTGTCTTTTTA